CAGTACGGCACATCACTAAATATGAAGTGCTGGATTTGGTAAAACGTGAATGTGCCTTTCCTTTCAGACACTAGCGGGACCGATCATAACACAAAGATGATGATCACTGACAGATGGAGATTCAGCTGAGGGGAGTAAAGGGTTAAATTTCATTTTCACAACACCAACACAGTATAGCCAACCTAGTGCTGTGTTTGTTCCTGTCATTTTTCTGATGATTGATATAATAACCTACGCTGCAACGCAGGATTCGTCAGCCGTTTGCTAATAAAGAAAGGAGAAGCGGAGACTATTGTATGTGAGTTTTTCAGACTTTGACAGGGACTTTGTCAGTAGCAGTGACAGTTCAAACGGACCTGTTTCTTCTTCCTCCGGCTCATAACATGTATGTGTAATTATTATTGTTGCCTCGTTTTGTGTAGTTTGGAAAATATGTATTTGATATTGTGTTGTAACTTGTAATCACTTATCTATTTTTCATAACACTTGCTTGTACTGTTTCTCCTGTGTTTAATCTGTATGTGGCTGTTCACATATTGCGGCAAAAACCACGTTTAAACGTGACGCGTGCTTCTTCCTTTACCGATTTAAATGCGTTTCTGAACTGGCGATCCTCTGCCGTTTGCCTTTGCTTTGGCCACCCTCAGCTATTTTATGCAGGCGGTTTTCAAAGAAGTTCACCTTTTGCCACTGTGTGGATTAATACTGAATGTGTGTCATTGTTATTACTTGGGGTCAGGGTTAAGAGTAGAGTAATATGCTGGTGTTTTAACTGCATTGCTTTACTGCATTTTTGCATTGGGCTCTCACATACACTGAAAATGATGTCTGCAAAACTGTTGCAAAGAATTTATATGGGTTAAATTTAAACAAACAAATGAAATGTAGTAATGTTTAACTCAAATTGTTTGTTTAAATTCAGCACAAATAAATTGTTTACAACAGTTTAAAAATTTTTTGTAAATCCAAGGAATTATCTTTGAATAATTTTTTTCAGTGTACTTGCTAATTCATAACCATTTCTTTGTGTTGAACTGAATCCAGCCAGCCAATCACAACAGATTAGCCTCACGCAAAGAGGGGGTTTGGGAACAAATGAATCACTGAACAAATCATGTGGGAGTAGTTGGGATAATTACATAAAAGTAAATGCGTATTATAAGACAATGAAAGTGTTTTTTGACCTTGCATGCATATCAGCCTGTTGACGGAGACCCCCAAAACCAAAATATGACCTTTTATAATGCAAAATAGGGGCTCTTTAATAAGCCTCCAGTTACTATTTAATGGCAATAATTTCTTAACATCCACTATTAGTATTTTCACACAGGATATTCAAGTGTCAAAATGGCTCTACATATCAGTGGTACAATGTAACCTCACTGTAGTTTGAACTTTCATTCATTTTTCCCCCTTACCAAAGTGTTACCGAATTAATTCACTAGCACAAAGGAGTGTTTGAGTGAATATTAAGGGCAATGGCAGGGATATTTGGCTGCTCTCTTTACATGTAGTTAGTCATAAGGGTGGTACTTCCTGTCTTTTCAGATAGTCCTGCTGTTTATTCCTTTATGTAATCAACTCGCATGGCTTTTCAAGCAGACTCGGTCATGTTTTGATTTATTTGTGTGTATTCGTGGTCGCTCTGGACAGACATGGTGGGAGATTTTACTCATACAGTAATTGAACTAAAATAGTCTTTTTATGAAGTCACGTAATAAAGCAGGAGCTGTCGTAAATGGAAAGTTCAAACAAGGGGAATTGGTTTAAATGCTTGTCTGGCGCTTAAAAACACAGAAGCAGACATTTGACAGACGGATTACACTTCAAGGCTCCGTGAATTTCCTGCTTTCACTCAGATTTACTTGGATATTTGTTCAAGTGCTTGGGTTTAGATAGCATGTCTGTGCTTTGTTTGAACACACACTCACACACATTTTGAACTCTGTACCTGAATGAGTGAATTTACAGGGCGTGTCGCTCTACCTGACAAATTTCACACCAAAGAGAAAAAGAAAGATCAAAACACATGTGCAGTTTGATTGTAAAGCTGAATGGAGGGATTGATTATCTATTAGTGGTGTTTATGATATTTGAGCTGAATATTTTATTACTGCCTCAAACACACTGCAATGCTTTTAAAATTTAGCTGCACTCAAAAAAAACTTTTGCTGCTTGATTCAACTATATTAAAATGAGTTAAAACAACATATTTTTTATTTTTAAGGGTTGAAAGCTTAATTGGTTTAAATTCAATCTACTTAAATTTGTTAAACAATTGATTACAGTGCTTCCTACACATTTCTACATGACTTTATTTGCGCAGGCCGCCCAGGTATATTAACGGCAGCCTAAGTATATATATATTTTTGCTATTATTATCATCCTTTTACACTTTTTTTTTAATCCGCCCAATCAGGCCTGGATTAAAAATTCAGATGCCCCCTGGCACATTGTCTTGTTGGGCCCCCTACCCAACCGGACCCCTAAAGTTCAATTA